AACGGTTCCAAGACTATGGCGGGATACGCGACGCTGTTTGGGCTTGTTTACCATTCCCTATTTCAAGTATGCCATGCCCCCCCTGGATACCGTGTTGAAGGCCGCAATCGCCTGATTTGACCAACGCACGGAGTTTCGTACCCCTGCTACAGTGGATCGTAAAGTGATCATAGATAATTTAAGAACGGATAGGACATAAGAAATTATCAAATGCAAATTTAGTGATACTGTTTTTATGGTTATAAGGGGAAAATATTGATATGATAATTGATAAATAATAATAAATATTAAATAACATAATTTTATTTTGTTAAAGTATTATTTTCCAGGCACAGGTGGCACAACAATCAAAATACAAACTGAATTTAACTAAATTTAACTGACTATCATGTTATCATTATTATTTAATAAAATAGTTTTGAACATAACCTTAAAAAGCCCCATATTGTCTTTTTATCTACGTTCTCTCCTCCCCAAAAATGCACACGGCCCCATATGGAATTGGTTTAGGCATGTCCTATCCATTCTTATATTATCTATGAAGGCGGTTCACAGTTTTAATAACGTAAATGCTTATGTCAATACAGTTATATAATACTAAGTTATATCATGTGTCACCGTGTGGTGTGCGTAACGAAAAACAAATATAGCCTTCGTTAGTGTGTAGACGATTTTTTGCATGACAAATTAAATAGGTAAGTCAGCAGCTCGTGATAAGCATGTCTCTGATGTAAGCATTTCTCCGAATGTTATCAAACGTTATAATTGTATATAAACAAACGTATTATTCGGCTTGAAAAATACAAATTTTATTTTATAATTTAGTTATGTACTTAAGTTTATTGTTAAATTGTGTTACAACTTTAAAATTCAATTAATATAGTCAGTTAAAACGTTAGTTGTACACAGTTTTATGAAGTTAGTTTAATATTTAATATCATTTATTATCACAGAATATTTTGTAATTTTTTTTTCCATTATTTAATTTGGTGGTTTACGTGTCTCTAGCACGTCCTTTTATTTTTTACAATTAACTCAATAAGTTTCATATTAGTTCAAGTCTGGAATAAATTTCAGTTTTTATCGAGAAAAAGTTAGTATTACAGAAAACATCTGACAACAAAGGTACCTAGATAATGTAAAATATAGACATAGACACATATAGTTAGGTATATGTATATAATACACAACTTTCAGTTGAAAGTTGTGTATTATTCATAACTAATTTTTAATTTGTTAATTGTATTTTTTTCTTAGGATGTTTCCAGAATAGTTTTGTTTATGCTATTCAAAATTATGAAATACCTTGTTCTCACTAAGGAGTGTATAATTTCACATAAATATTAATATTTAGAAGTCATATCTTTTCTATTAAAATAATGTTGATTATTCCTCATTGTTTTGACTGACTATGTCCATGGAAGTGCTATAATAATGATGCCACTATCTCTCAATTTCTGTTTTGCTAACTTCATCTAAACCGTAACACTAGATGATTATCAAATTTTTGATTTCTACACATCGAAATAAATTGATTTATGAATACTAAAAAAGGTCTGATATAATAAAGATATGTTTAAGCCAGTGTTAACTCTTTGAGGGGCGAAAATTTCCTTTAGAAAAAAGACCCATGTGGGCAATATGTCTCTTTACCATAACATTTAGTACGTATATCAAAATATTGATAATGATAATAAATGATGAAAAACGCAAGAAATGATATCAGACCAGCGGCAGTGATATTGTTTGATGCATGTATAAGATGATAATAAGGTGATTGGTATGCTGACCATCATCAAAAAAATATTAAAAATAATTTTAAAAGTGGTTAAAATAGTAACCACCGCACCTCAACGGTAAAAAAAAAAGTGGTTAGCATACTAACCACGGCCCCTCAAAGAGTTAATACATGTCAATACTATTCACTAAATGAAAAATATTTCTAATAGACCAGAGGCAAATTCCAAAAACACAGTGAACCAACCCCACATATTTTTCAATTTGGTATCTACTAGTTTACTGATTGTGTTTTCGTCAATTAACATGTTTAAATTTAATCTCTGGTGCATTACTAACAGATCCATGGTTTGTCTAGCTTGAATTTTTTTGCGAGGATTCTATCTCCTGAGGTAACACTAATTATTGTTGAAAAACATTCATTGTGTTATACGTGTAAATCCCAGCTGTCATCAAATGTTCAGGGCTTTTGTATGTCCACGTCCATTCCGTTGATGGTTTAATTGTTATAGGTTTTTTTATTTCATTTATTTTTGATGTTATTGAAAACCAATCTCCATCAAGATAAAATGTAGAGGGTAATAGATGATTGCAATAATGATCATCTATTAATAGCTGTATTAATTTTTTTAAGATTAATATCTTAATTAAGTTTTTGCAGTTTAATCATTTTCGCCTTATAGGTTTGTTAACAAAAATTGGTGTGCATAATACAAAAAAGCTAACACCGAGGTGCAAACAATTTTATATGTTAACCAACAAATTGCTAAGAAAACAGCGTCAGATATGCAGTAGTAAAGAACTGTTCAAAAATAGATTGAGAAAAGCTGAACAATGTACTGATTATTTTATTAAGAACAAACTTGATAGTAAAGTTACAGCTGCAGCCTCACTTTTTACTCAGTTCCAACTTCGGAAAACCAAAAAGAAGAAGAAGGATCGTAGATTTACAATGGAAGAGAAAATATTGAGCCTTTCTATTTACAAAAAAAGTCCAAAATGTTATAGGTTGCTGTCTTATCTATTTACATTACCATCTAAACGAAAATTGAATCCAGTACTCAGTTCAGTGTCTATTGGTCCTGGAGTTTCCCCAATTGTAATGCAAGTACTAAAAGAAAATGTTAAGAAACTGAAACCCACGGAACGGTAACATATTTTAATCTACAAATTTATAAATTTAAGCCTGGTTGACATAAACATTTTTTTTAGGTATTGCTCATTGATTTTTGATGAAATTGCATTGAGCAGCGGAGTAAATTACAATTCTTCATCTGACCAAATAGATGGTTTTGTTAACTCTGGTCATTATAAAAGTCAAGAATTAGCAGATCATGCCATAGTGTTTATGATCCGAGGAATTACAAAAAAGTTCAAACAACCTGTAGCCTATTCTTTTTGCCAAATCACATGAATTAGTGAGACAGATTGAAAAGGTGTGGCATTTTTGTTCTTCTTCATATTTGTTATTAAAAAATTATTTTTTAATTAGGTAATTAGAAATGCTGAACAAACTGGCTTAAGGGTAGTGGCAACTATATGTGATCAAGGGACAACTAACGTTGGAGCTATCACTATTTTGAATAACGAAACCCGGCAATTTCATCTTAAAAACAAGACCCAGTACTACAGTGAATTTTATAAAGTGGAGTTGGAAAATAAAGAAAGGTTTGTAAAACTTGATATTAAATTTATAAAAAAAATTTTACCACATAACATAGTACACTTTTATGTAGTAAAATAGTAAAAAAAAAAAAAAATTATTGGACAAACAATAAATAATATGCAATTACCTATCATTTTCAACAGGTTAAAATTGGTTCACCTTTATGATGTACCCCATTTAATCAAATGCACTAGGAATAATTTGCTCTCAAAAGATCTAACATTTGAAATGGATGGTAAAAAACGTTTTGCTAAGTGAGAACATCTTCTGCAATTATATTCATATAATGTAGATGTCTAATTTTCTTTCCTCTATAAAGTATTAGGAAAAAAGAAATGTATGGTTTTGAACAAGATATTTTACTAATAGGTACCTATCTAAAGTAAAAATATTACTAATTAAAATTAATTGATATTAATATGTTATGTTATTTCCACATACATAATATAGATTAGGTCTTACTATCTTACTCTTTATTATATTATTGTATAACTTTTCACTACAACAATACTGACGCCTGACGGACTTGAAACAGTTCTTAATCTTTGCTGTCAAAACTCGACAATGAAAATACTAGGTGTTATATACAACAATTATACTACAATTTCTAGTTAGGTGTAGGCTAGTAGGTGTAAGGCGTAGGTCAATAGGTAGTTAAGTCATAATACCCACATGCTGAGGGTTCGAATCTTGGATGGTCGATATTATTTTATCTTTTTTTTCGTTTTAAAATAATTAGTTACATATTTTATGATAAATAATAATATCTATGTAACATCTAATAAATGTTACAAGTTGATTTGAAATTTTAATGAAATATAATATAGCACAGTGGGATAATGTGTCAACATAACATTATATGTATGTGATTTTTGACGTTATATACACATTACTTAAACATATTAGATTTGCATTGCCTTGAAATAATGCATCTATGTTTCAAAAGATGTGCTTACACTGTTTCCTGAATGTCAGCAAAAACAGGGCATTAAGTGTTGCAGCAATGTTTTTCATACACGTATGCAACTCGCATTGCGATATTACACGTTCCAATAAAACTGTTGGCACAGTTGGTGACGTTATATTTTCAGTCACGGGCTCCTTTTGTGTAGAAACACTATTATCGCGTGAACTTACATTATCTTCCTCATTACAAATTGATGCTTCTCCTTCGTTTGTAGCATTTGTAATGCTCCTATTATTAATAATAAATTATGATGATATTATATTATAGGTATAGTACTAATATTATGTTTTAATATGAAAATATGTATTGGTATATCAAAATGTAGACATATAAATTTATGATATATTCTTACTGTCTTTCGTATATTGCTTATCCATAAAAGACAAAACATCTTCAAGTATCCATTTTGAAGGCCTATCTTTTGTGGCTGACCCAGTACCCAACTTTCTGCCTCTCCTTTTTTTACTATAGGTATCTTTAATGTTTATCCAGCGCTTTTTACAATCATCAATATATAATTACAATGATGAAATTACATATTAAATAACCAAGAATAACAATTTTATTTATATTATTACTATTGTAATTTATAAATATTTTTATAGATTAAAAATTTTTTTAAACAGGTTTATGGCGACCAGCGAGTCTTTTCGTTCCTTAGCTTTTGCATTTCGTATCTCTCAGAGCTTCATTACACGAATAGTGAGGATAGTATTGGAAAGCTTAAGTAATCGATTGACACCAATTGTATTGCCTACACCAACACAAGAGGACATGATCGAAATATCAAAAGATTTTTGGAAAAAATGGAATTTTCCAAATTGTGTGAATGACATCGATGGCAAACATAGACGTATTTTTTCACCAAAGAACAGTGGATCATTATTTTTTAATTATAAAGATTATTTTTCCATCGTTCTGTTAACAATTGTTGACGCTAACTGTAAATTCGTTTTTGTAGACATCGGATCATATGGTAAAGAGGGTGATAGTGGAATATTTACAAAGACAAAAATCTCAGAGAAAATAAATAACGGTGATTTTTTTCCTCCTAATGCCAAAATTCCAAATTTCGATCAAATTTTGCCATATGTTTACGTGGGTGATGAAGCTTTTCGTTTGGACCCACATATGATGTGACCATACTCAAATATTGATTTAAAGAATGATTGCGAAAAGAAAATTTTCAATTATCGCTTATCACGTGCAAGGAGAACAACAGAAAATAGTTTTGGACTTTTAAGTCAGGTATTCAGAGTTTTTTACACATCCATACCACTAAAAATAAAAACCGTTGACTACCTCGTATTATCTGCCTGCTGTCTTCATAATCTCTTACGTAATGAATACATTACGAAGAATTATACGTCAGAACAACAATATTATAATTTTGACCCAAATGAATCTCCGACAAAAAATATGATACAACTTGAACATACGGAAGGTTATGGAAATTACGAAGGCTTTATTGTTCGAGTTGAATTTAAAAAATGTTTCAACTCACCCCCAAGGTACAGTTCCATGGCAAAATTATCAAACTTTAAGGACAGATATATCATAAAAACTAAAAAACCTCAATAATAATATTATTGTTAAATATTAATTATTGAATTATTTAAGCATTGTATATTATTTTATTTTAATATTTCATATTATTTAATATTAAGCTGGTTGTTCACTACTCAAATTATATTTTATTATTTAACATAGTTTGTTCATAAGTTTCTAAGCTAGCTCTATTTTTCTTCTTGTTGGGCGATGATACAGTACCTTTATTTTTATATTCGGCCAAAGTTGTCAGAACTGTACGTTGACCAATACCGGTTGCTTTTGAAATTTTCAAAAGCATTTCTTTGTACTTCAATCGGGGGCTGTCAGGATTTTCGGGTTGTTGATTAACTATATCTTTGTACGGATTGATGATAATTTTTTTTGACCAGTACCAATGAACTGCAGAAAAAAAATTAAATAATAAGAATTAGCAATAGAAAAAATATATATATTTTATATAATTTTATATAAACACTTACCTCTCCACAAGGATTTTTTTCCTTAGATGAAGCAATATCAATAGGATCCATTGTAGACTGTAGTTTTACTAGTACAATAGTAAATACTAAAAATATAGTGTACTAAAACACGCAAAAACCAATAAAAAAAAATGTGTATAACACGCAAAAACAAAAAACTCGGTAAATACTATTGCAATACGTAAAATACGGATAACATGTTAGTGTTGCCAGATGAAAATTTAAAAAATCCTGAAATCAACGTTCAAAAATCCCCAGACTTACTTAAAAATCCTTAGTCAACAATTTGACGCTCGCTAGTACTGTCTAACACATTATGGTGTATGTGATAAATGATAATAATATTAGTCCATAATAATTATTATATTTTAATTTATATTAAAACATTCTCTCAAATAGTTTTTAAATCACAAAGTAACATTTTGACTTCACCTAACACTGAGACTGAGTTACTATAAATTAATAAAATATACAACAAATAATGTAAAAAAAAAACATAATTTATTATAAAAGAATAACAACATAATTATCAATCCCTGATAACAAAATAAAGTTTATATCTGCAGACTTTGAGGTAGGTATTATAATATTAAGATGTGTAGTAACATATTAAATATATGTATAAATAAAAATAACATAAAAAAACATAATAATTATAATAGTAACAATTCTTGTATAGAATAATAAATATCAGAACAAACAATGAGATATTATAACATAAAGATGTGTAGTAACATATTTATACCAACTTATTAACTGAGGTATAAATAAAAATAACATAAAAAAACATAATAATTATAATAGTAACAATTCTTGTATAGAATAATAAATATCAGAACAAACAATAAGTATAGTAAACAATAGTAATACTACAATATCAAAATATAAAATATTACTAAAAATTTAGATTGCAAAATAAATAATAAGTAAGTCAGGAATTATAAGATATATAAACATAATATTAGGAAACAAAGTAATTATTGAGATCAATAATTTCCATACATATCACTGTTATGTTTTTTTATCATTTCATTTGTGACATTAAAATCATGACATGATTTTTGTTGATTAATGATTAATTAATACGTTTTTAGAGTATAAAATCCCAGACAGTGTGTTGGTTGCTAGTCGGTTCCTGGTTTTTGTTTTGTTAAGATTAATAGTACTAAACAATCGTTCGACGCATGCGCTGCTATGTGGCAAAGTAATAATATATGATACAAACTTGATAAGCAGTGGATAAACTGGAGAACCTTCACAGTTTGTTAAATTTTTTACAGCTTTCCAAAAAGTATACATATCCAAGTCTTTACTAATATCACAATTTTTTAATTGCCTAAACTCCCTATCTAAATCATTTAAATTTAAATCCAACTTTCTCTCAAAATAGGAAGCAGCAACAGCAATGGATTTAATATTATTGATATTTTTGGATCTATGAATGATAAATGTTTTAATGCTTGAACCCATGGAGAATTAAAAGGAAAACGTTGATACATTTGATGGCAACATTCAATAAAAAAATTTAAACAGTTGGTTATAAAAATGTTTTTTTCAGTATCTGGAAAGTTTTTATTAAATACATTTAATGCTGCAGAACATTTACCACCCAAGTATATTTCTTTGTTATTAAGAAAAAATTCTGGATTTCTGTACTGAATAACTGTTATATCATTATTGCTTAAATACTCTGGTTTTATGTAACAATCAAGTAAAGTTTTATAAGCGTTGAACATTTTAGAATATAAGGTATGTAATTTAGGGGATTCTGACTGAAACTCAATATTAAGGTTAGTTAATATTGGTAGTACAAAATCTAAAAAATGTAAATATAATTCTATTTTTATATCATTAAGTTTGAAACAAATTTCAGAAGCCTTATTGTCCAATAAATGTTCAGCATCAAAATATAATTTTAATGCCTTGTATTGCTCTAACACAGCTATGAAGAGACAACCATCGTGTTTGTGATGGCTGTAGCATTTTATGTGGTTTAGTGTCTACAAATATCTGAAACTCACTGAATGTGACTGTCTCTTGAAACTGTATTTCATATAGGTATAAATTTCTCTTATCAACTGCTCAACGTCATTCGGTAGTTTGGTGCAAGCGTAGGAAGCGCACAATGCCAAGGAGTGGCAAACACATTTTAAAACAAATAAATCTTCCACATCTTTTTCCAATAAAGTTTTGACAGAATGATGTTTACCAAACATGGTATTTGCACCATCTGATGCATAGCCAATTAAATTATCTTTGTAAGGTACTGAGTTGTTTTGAAAAAAATTTAAAATTGCATCGTAAACACTTTGAGCACTGGCATCACTAATTTCAGTCAAACTAGCAAATTAATCTCTTACAATATAATTTTCTTGATCCAAAATCCTAACAACAACTGCAAGATGTTTGATTGAAGACTTATCCGTAGATTCATCAATTAGAATAGAAAAATATTGTGTTTTTAATTTTTCAATTAAGTCTTCAAAACCTTGTTTTCCAATGGTATTTTTTACAATGGCGGTAGCTTTTGAACGGTTACATGTAATTTTTTTTATCACTTCTGACTCTGGATAAACACTTTTAATGAGCGCAACTAAATGATCGGAGTTCTAAACGAAATATTGTGCTCTGTAATAAACATCGACATTTTTATTTCCGCTTCTTTTTTTCGACTTTCTACATTATTGATATAAGTTAATTTGATCATTTTGTTAATGGGTGTAGTATTTTTAATAGATTTAAAATTTTTGGTATGTTTGGCAGAATCAGAGTGCTTACGTACAACAGATAATCCTCCTAAATTATCATTGTTACATGCTTTGCAGTGGAAGTATGATGTTCCTTTTTTACTGTGACTCAACCACGAGGAAAATTCTGTTTTTTGTTCCCATGATAATTTTGCAGGTATAATTTTTTTTTATTAATATGTTCAGTATTTTCATCGCTTGACGACATTCTGGAATAATAAAATAAGGTACTTAATAGTTGGTAAAATAAAATACATTTGTAGGTATTCAATAAACTTACTTTGTAAACCACGTGTGACCTAAACACAAGCGACAAAATAGGAACGACGGCACACTCGCACACTTTACAAAACGTGTAATGTATATAAATGACTCAATAGTCAATGACGCGCGCGATTTGTGAAATGGGAATTGAAATCTTTATCAGTTGACAGTTTATAACAAAGGACTGTGGAGGTTTTTTTTATCAACACTCACAATAGTCCGTAACGGCGCACAGAGGGGCAATTGACATCGAAAGCTGGCAAAAATAGCATTTATCAAATTTTACTTATCTTATCGAATTATTATATATATCAATATAGGAGTTCATACTGCATAGTTTACTGGTTTAGTGCACGTGTTGTGGCTTAAATTGATTTAGTTACAGCAGTCGTAATATAAGTCCACAGTGTTACAGTGTAAATCCAACAGAATAATATTATTTTACATTTTAGTTTTTTTCTGTAACTTAGCGATTGTTTGTGTATTCAATTCAATTTATTATGGAACCATTAGCTACAGGTAAGTTACGTAACGTTTAATATATACGTTTTACCGAGTTATACATAATATTTACCTAGATAACTAATAATAATAATAATAATATATTTGTATCACGAAAATGATATATAATTTAAGTTCACTTCCAAGGCTTTCCAAGCATTAAAAATTGCAAAATATAATACTTAATAGAGTATTCTACTACCTTGTTAAAAAAAAATGTTGCCCATATTTGCCCCATTTCGTGTAAATAAATTCTAACTGTGACGACCTATACCAATTTCACTTGAAAAAAATTGCTTCATTTTTTTTTTTCGGAGGGAGGGTGGGTCTAGTGTAACTAAATATTTAAAGGGGTTTTAAGAAATGTACAGTATTCCCATAAAAGAGGAATATACAAAGTGTTTAAAAAGTTTGGTAATAGTTATTAGATTTAATGGGACTGATAAACGATAATATGATACTATAATTAATGAGTTTATTAAAAATGTTACCTTACAAAGGTGTAGCAGTGTTATATGTTATTTTTCTGTGTATGCATTAAAATACACAAACAGTAATTATAGCATTTCCAAACTTTTTGAACACATAATTTATGTAC